ATGTTAGGATTAGAGTTAGTGTTAGTGTTAAGATAAGGTTAGGTTTAGGGTTAGACCTACGGTTAGGGTTAGTGTTAGGGCTAGTTTAGGATTAGCGTTAGGGCTAGGGTTTAGATGAGTGTTAGCTTTAAAGTTTAAGGTTGGGGCTAGGGGTTAGGGTTAAGGTTACAGTTAGGATTAAGGTTAGTGTTAGGGTTAGGGTTGGGGTTAAGTTAGGTTTAGGTTTAGGTTTAGGGTTAGGGTTATGGTTATGATAAGGGTTAGGCCTAGGTTAAGGTTAGGTTAAGTTTAGGGTTAGCGTTAGCGTTAGGGTAAGGGTTAAGTTATGGGTTAGGGTTAGGGTCATGGTTAGGTTTAAGGCTAGGATTAGCCTTACTGTTAAGCTTAGGGTTAGGTTTAGGGTTAGGGTTAGGGTTAGAGTTAGAGTTATGGTTAAGGTTAGAGTTAAGGTTAGTGTGAGGGATAAAGCTAGAGTTATGGTTAGAGCTAGGGTTAGGGTTAGCGTTAGAGTTAGGGTTAGGATTAGGATTAGGATTAGGATTAGAGCTAGTGTAAGAGTTCGGGCTAAGGTTAGGGTTATGTTTATGTTTAGGGTTAGGGTTTAGGTTAGGGTTAAGGCTAGTATTAGGGTTAGGGCTAGGGTTAGAGCTAGGGTTAAAGTTAAGATTGGTTTAGGGTTAGGTTTATAGTTAGGGCTAGGTTTAGCGTTAGAATTGGGTTTAGTGTTAGGGTTAGGGTTAGTTTTATGGTTAGAGTTAGGGTTTAGGGTTAGGGTTAGGATAGGTCTAGGGTTAGGATAGGGCTAGGGTTAAGGTTATATTTCGGGTTAGGGTTAGGTTTAGGGTTTAGGGTTAGGGATCAGTGGCGTCACTAGGTGGGGGGGGGGGGGGGCGAAGGGGCTCAAGCCCCCTGAAAAATTTGAATAGCCCCCTGAAACAAAAATTTTTTTTTTAATGGTTCCTTAATATCCCCTTAAACTATAAAGAACTTTTTTTGATTGTCCCCTGTTTACTATAATTCTATTAAGTAATATATAGATTTAATTTTATTATTTAAAAATTCATAAAACAATCTAAATTTTATTAGATTAGATTAATACATATAAATTATATTTTCACTATGTCAGCTTGCAATCAAATTATTGTTAAAAATAAAATATCAATACCATGCATAATGTTTAAATATCAATTTAGCATTAACAGTAAGTTTAATTGATTTTTATTAATTAAATTATTATATAACCCTAATTAAATAAATATAAAGATTTATTAATTTAAAATTAACAAATTTAATATTGTATACGAGTTTAAAATCACTATTTAAATAAAATGACTTTGCGATTTAAAAATTTAAGCATTAATATGAAAAAAACTAAAGATAAAAGTAGCAATAATCTTGAGGACCAAAGAAGAGGATTCAATAATAATGCTGGTGATGAACAAAGTATATTTTATACAGTTTTTAAAATTCAAACTTTGATTTAGTTGAAAGACGATTAATTGTAGTTTTAAAAGATATAAATATTGAAAACAAAAATGTTAAAAGAATGAAAATAGTTAAATCAATTTATATATAGGTCTGTGTCCAAAATGTTTTGAAAAAATCCTTAAAATTTTCACAAATTAATAACAAAACACTTTGGACATTTAAGTTTAAAAAAATTAAAATTTATTAGTTAATTATCTATTTTAATGTAAGGTTTCTTTTTCACTTGATCATAATTGAAGTTATATGTTTTTCCTATTTCTCCCAAATTTGCCTAATTTCTATAGAATTTCTATTTAAGTCATTTTTCACCAGAGTATTAAACAATATTGATTTCTTTAGTTATCAAGTTAAGCAAAAATTGCTTTACAATATATTTTCACCTTTTCTTTTTACATTAATAAAGATAATATTGGCTAAATTGTTTACTCAATCATTCTTTCATAATTTGATAATTATATATTTATTTGTTTATCCTAACTTAATAATAAACTATATTTTAATAAAAATGCTAAATAAATTTAGAATAGTTTGCTTATTTATATATATTTTTGAAAAATGGACACTATAATATGGAATATTACCTTTTATATATTATATTTACAAAAATAAATACACTGAAAAGAAATACATTTTAAAATTAATCTTATTTAGATTCATTGAATAATGAAGAAATTCAGAAGAATTAGATCTGGGTACTAAAACAACTGGTCCTATGCAACCTATATTAGGTGCCTATCCATATATTGGAATGGGTAAAGATAAACGATGCTTTCAAACTCAGTGGTACAAATCATTTCCCTGGATTGAATATAGCATAACCAGAAACTCTATTTTTTGTTTTCCTTGTCGTAATTTTCCCACTCAACCTTAAAAAGGATACCTTTTTAATCAAGGTTATTAAAAATTTCGTAAGGTAAAAGAATACTTAACAACTCACGGAGCAACAAATGGTCATTCAACGAATGTAATTCTCTGGAACCATTTTAAACAATCTTTGATAGAAGGCACCATTAAAGAAAAATTTATAGCTCTAACTAAATCAACAATACTTGAAAGAAGAGAATATTTGAAACGATTATTCAAAATTATAATACTATGTGGTAAGTTGGAACTTCCCCTTAGAGGTCATTATGAAAGTAAGACAAGCAATAATCAAGGAAATTATTGTGAAATATTAAACTGTTTGAAAGAGTATGATCCATTTTTAATAGCATATAAACCACCAGGCAATGCTCATTATTTCTCACCTCAATCACAAAATCAAATGCTATCTGCAGCTGGAAACTTAATCGTAAAGTACATAGCATCAGAAATAAGGGAGGCAGGCTATTTTGCTGTCATGGCTGATGACACTCGTGATGTTAGCTCATATGAGCAATTTAGTATATGTGTTAGATATGTTGATAAAACAAAAACACCAAAGGAATCTTTTATATCTTTTCAAAAAGTTGAAGACTTAGATGCAGAGTCATTAACGAAGACATTAATAACAACCTTAAACAACAATTCCATAAATGCAATTTGCGTTGCTCAAGCATATGATGGTGCAAGTGTTATGAAAGGGCATCTTTCAGGAGTCCAGGAAAGATATCGCCAAAATCACAAAATGGCTATATATGTGCACTGCTATGCGCATAAACTCAACTTTGTACTGATCTCTGCCTGCAAATCAGTACCTCAATCTAGAAAGTTTTTTAATGTTTAGAAGGTATTCATGCTTTTTTCTCAATATCTGTTATCCATCACAATAAATTTCTTGATTTGCAATTAAGATTAGGGTTAAAATCCAAAAATATTGATGCCTTGAGTTCTACACGTTGGAGATCCCATATTAGAACTATAGAGGCAGTAAAAATGACTTTCCCTGCAATTATTTCTTATCTAGAAAATATAGACCATGGTGATGTGGTGAAAGCAAAGGGAATTCTTATTGAGTCTCTTATCAGTTCTTTGTCAAATTTAAGAAATAATTCGTATTTTTCTTCATTATTTACCGAAGTAAATAAATTTTGCAATTTATATAATATAAAAATAACAAATAAAAGAGCAAATATACCTTCTACCATTTTGAATAATTATATTCAAATAGATGATATTGTTTCTTCTAATCATTCTGATCAAACAGAAACTTTTTATAAGTGTCATGTCTTTTATCCACTTTTGGATATTATGATAAATGAATTAAAAAAGAGATTTTGCCAAGAAAACACAGATATTTTAATAGCTATAAATGCTTTACATCCCTCCTCCCCCTTTTTTTAAATAATGATATCATTAAACCATTTATCTTACATTATAATCTTCCTGATCCAATGGAAGAATACATAATATTAAAGGCTTATATTTTAACCTATAATAAAAAACACGAATCTACGTGTAAATCAATAATAGATTTGATAAAAATCTTACCCATAGATATATTCCCTCGTATATTTAATTGCCTTAAAATTGCGTTAACTATACCTTTTAATTCCTGCTCATGTGAAAGATCGTTTTCAGCATTAAAACGGGTGAAAACATATCTTCGATCGACAATGGGTCAGGAACGATTAAATTCGTTGGCTCTATTGAGTATAGAAAAAAATATTATTAATACCATTCCTATAGATCACATTATAGATGAATATGCAATAATGACTAGCCTGCGTAGAGAACTTATTTTATAAATAATTTAACCTTATAATTTTTGAAATTCAATTTTAGGCGTTAGTATCTACGAGTAAATATATCGTTTAATATTTATTTTATAAATTTTTTGATTCATATCCAAAATTAACTAAAAGACATGGTGCTTATAAAAAAATTCTTTTTGAGATAGGAAAAAATCAGAAAAAAACAGTAAATGCTTTCTTTTGATATGACCAAAGTTTCTGAAAAATTTAATTAAAAATATTTGAATACATTGACAATACAATAATATATAAGATCTTAATTGCTTTCATCATATCACTATGGTACTTATTTTCTAGCTTGCAAATTATTTATTTCTAATTTGGCACACTTAAATTGTAAATAACTCAAGGCTTTAATATATTTGCATAATTTCTTCCAAGATTTTAGGTGTTTTTGCTTTATCAATATATCTAACATACTAGATTTTGATATGAGTTAACATCGTGTATGTCATGGCTATGACTGCAAATTAACCAGCATCTATTATTTGTGGGCTATAAAATTTAAGATTATTACTACAGCTGCTGAGAGCATATGATTGCATAATTAAGATGAGCAACAATGATCAACTGTCCAGTAGTTTATATAGGATTAAAAATGGAAGATAATCTTTTAGAAATTTAATATCTCACAATAATTTTCTCGATTACTTATCTAGCTTCCATCATGTCATCTAAGAGGAAGCTTTAACCACCATATAGTTTTATGATTTGGATTGGTCGTTTATATTCTCTTCTTCAAGAATTGTTGATTTGGTTAGGCCTATAAATTTTTCCTTATTAGTCCATTCTATAAAACTTTGTCTAAAATGGTAAGAGAGAGTTATATTAGTTTCATGA